CGCTCTGTTCCTAGAAGCGGTACCGACGTTTGGCTCGTACGAATTGATGACTTATGAGCAGCTCATCTTCTACACGGTAATATCTGCAGTGTACGGTGAGTTTTTGAAATCGTTTTTTAGCTTCGTTTTATTTCTATTAATGCAAGTATCCAACCCCGAATTGCAGGGATTTGGCACAGCTGACCCTCATGAGGGATATCCCAGTAACATCAATATGAGTTGTCCGGGTGGATTAGCTACTCTGGTATCTCATGACTGCAGCCGATGTTGTTAGTCGGCGGGTTATCTCTTCGTCGTGGCCCAAAAGTATCGGGGCTCAACGTGAATTAATGGTTCTCAACAAACACACAAAGACACACCGAGGATATTCTGCAAGTTTTATGTGTTCGTTCAATCGCGAGGGGTCGCTGAAGTAATAAGCCCTTGGGGGGATGAAACAAACGTCAAAATCTGCAGCCAACTGAAAAAACGATATAGCCTAGGTCAAACTAGCTAGAAAAGTTGCTAGTTGTACAGTATGGAAGAGTTTCCATTTGCTTGCAAATCACCTGCTGAGTAAGCGCACTGTGAATCACAGCTGACCCATGCATCCAAAACTTACAGTACGATGTGCGGAATCTAGTGAATTGAAAAACGTCCTAACATGCGCTTCAGTGTATTCAAAATGAACTAATAAATAATTTTTAGCTCTGGAACGGCCAGATCTGCGCGCAAAAGTCATCAAATGCAATGAGATTCAAGAGCAGGTCAGTGCGATTCACCTTACGTATTTGTCCTGACTGTGATCCCCTGTAGCCTCTAATAAATTTGGTGAGTTTCCTGTGAAATTCATGAACACCCACTTTTAAGCTTTAGGCAATGATTCTGTTCTGCCATTAGAATAACCAGTCCTTCTACGATTTATTTCTGCTTGCCAAGAAGTCGGAATCGCTTCCAAGTTTATTTTTTTGAGACTGTAAAAAAGGAAGCCATTTCTGTACCAGTGGATGGTTGCTGCCAACAAATTGTCATCAATTTGATCCCTTCGAGATGTATCAGGAATGAATTAGAGTGACTTTCAAACTGACGAGTATTTTATTTTCTGTAATATTTTTCCGACTCGATTCCCCCAGTTTTTATCTGTTTTTGAGATTATTTTTTTTCAGCTAACTGGTGGTGGTCAAAATGGCGAGCTGGTAGCAGTGAAGCATTATTTGGAAGCATTTTATGGATGTCGATATGATGAGCTATTTGTGGTACTTGCAAAGCTAGAAAGTGAACGACTCAAATTCGACCGTTACTTCGCGCCACATTACAATTTTTACTCACGGGCAATGCGTCTGAAAGCCTATGAACAGTTCCTTACTCCATATAAAACAGTAAGCCTATTATTTCGGCTGGGGATCTCTACTGTGAACTTGACTGACAATTTCCGCGTTAGATTGTTCACGAAGTTCTCACCCTTCTTACTGTGGGATATTATTTTTTGTACAGGTTCGCCTGCATATGATGGCGAAGGATTTTGGTGTTTCGAAAGAGTTCATCGATAAGGAGCTCCATCGACTGATCGCGGCGGGGCAGCTGCACTGCAGGATCGATGCTGTACGGGGCGTGATTATAATGAATCATCCAGATTCCAAGAACCACCTGTATCGCAGCGTTATCAAGTAAACTTTCTTCTGTGTTTTTGTGTGAAATCACAGACTCCCAATGTATTTTGCAGACTATTACTTTCGAGATGTTTAGTGCGCAATGA